CATTCTGGAGCTTGCTTCATGAAAAAAGGAGGGGTCCCTCCGATCCCTGCTAACTAGGACATAGCCCTGTAATTCGACCTGTTCCTTTATCCCATATCGAGGTGAGAAAGGGTTAATAGATCGAGATGTATCCCATATCAAGGTTGGAAGGGGTTAATAGAGCAATATTTATCCCATATCAAGGTGGGAAGGGGTTAATAGAGCTAGGAGTATCACACATCAAGGTGGTAAGGGGTTAACAGAGTGAGATGTATCCCATATCGAGGTGGGAAGGGGTTAATAGAGCGATATGTATCCCATGTCAGAGTGACAGTTCTTTGTTAAACCATATCAGTTCATTGTCCGTGAATAGACCCTATTGTCACTAATGTCGTCTTATTTGTCACATTTAGCAGATTTGGTCCCCCTCCCACCACTCTAATACACTGCCTTCCTGTCCCCGCCTCCTTTCCCCAATTATATACACTGTCCCCCTCCCACCACTCTAATACACTGCCTTCCTGTCCCCGCCGCCTTTCCCCCAATTATATAGACTGTCCCTCTCCCACCACTCTAATACACTGCCTTCCATTCCACGCCTCTTTTCCCCCAATTATATACACTGTCCCCCTCCCACCACTCTAATACACTGCCTTCCTGTCCCCGCCTCCTTTCCCCCAATTATATACACTGTCCCCCTCCCACCACTCTAATACACTGCCTTCCTGTCCCCGCCTCCTTTCCCCCAATTGAATACACCGCCCCTCTCCCACCACTCCAATACACTGCCTTCCTGTCCCCGCCTCCTTTCCCCCAATTATATACACTGTCCCCCTCCCACCACTCTTATACACTGCCTTCCTTTCCGCCTCCTTTCCCCCAAATTATATACACTGTCCCCCTCCCACCACTCTAATACACTGCCTTCCTGTCCCCGCCTCCTTTCCCCCAATTATATACACTGTCCCTCTCCCACCACTCTAATACACTGCCTTCCTTTCCCCGCCTCCTTTCCCCCAATTATATACACTGTCCCCCTGCCACCACTCTAATACACTGCCTTCCTGTCCCCGCCTCCTTTCCCCCAATTATATACACTGTCCCCCTCCCACCACTCTAATACACTGCCTTCCTGTCCCCGCCTCCTTTCCCCCAATTGAATACACCGCCCCTCTCCCACCACTCCAATACACTGCCTTCCTGTCCCCGCCTCCTTTCCCCCAATTATATACACTGTCCCCCTCCCACCACTCTTATACACTGCCTTCCTTTCCCCACCTCCTTTCCCCCAATTATATACACTGTGCCCCTCCCACCACTCTCCCCGCCTCCTTTTCCCCAATTGAATACACTGCCCCCAACCCTTGATATTTTCCGGTATGCAGGTCTGGTCCTGGCGGCATGTTTGACATGCTTTCTCTAGAACAAGTCCTATGATTTTCAATGTGTGAAGTTTTCACCCACCCTCAGAACTCATTGAAGTGGCCAGAGTGCCGTGTCCCTATTGCACTCAGAGCTGCAATGTTAAACATGCCTGCCCCCAGTGGCTGTCTCCAAGGAATGCCTCCCAGACAGCCACTAGAGGTGCTTCCTGGCTGCTAACAGGCCTTTGGTCCGGCAAATTGATGCTGGACGTCTTTACGCTCTGTATGCGGACAGCCAGCACCAGCTTTTTCTCCACAGGAAAGCATTGATTCAACACTTACTTTGTACACGTTGGTTTTTAACCCTTTATTCACTGCGGCGGGGGAGGGGGGAGGCAGAGAGAGCTATATTAGTATTCCTGGCACTATATTGTCCCTTGAATAAATAATCTATTTCAAACATAGACATAGACACAAAGTAAGGGTATTGAGCAACATATACATGTACAAAGTTTCTTCATTTGTAGTAAAAAGAGTTTCTAAAATAGTATGGTATCCTTTTTCTTACTTTTCAAATATAAGTATAAAAGTAGAAATGTCATTTTGTTTTTTATTCCTGCAATTTGTGCAAAGTTTGCAGAACAAGCTTCAGCAGTGAAACGTCTGTTTGTAGCGCTATCGGCCATGCACGAAATATGACGGCGGGTTCATTGCCAGCGTTATTCACCAATGGGAGAATTGCAGGGAATTCAAAGTAAATTTCAAGTTTAAGTTCAAAAGCTGAACTGCTTGGCTACTTTGGTCTTTAATTTGAAATTCACTCCTCACTTCAGTGAATAATTTGCCAATCTACACATGGTAGCCCAACTGGAGCTGATTTTCGACTAACATTTCTGATTTATTAACCCCTTAACTCTTTTAGGGCGTATTATGCCACCCGCATTTAGTGAGCCTAGTACGCCCTAACAATTGTTAGTTCCCCTGTCTCTGCACACTTACCTGAACCGGCAATCCCGGTCCGGGGGACTGCCTCTCGAGACAGGCAGTGTAACGGCACCCCCAGGCATAAAAGGAGTTAAGTGCCGTTTAGGAGATATTCCCCTTCCAGAGACCCAGGCAGCTACTGCAGAACACCAAACTCTCGAACTGGATGCAAGGGAATGCTCCAAACTCCCGAACTGGAACCTCACGAATAGCTGCTAGCAGACGAACAGGAAAAGCACCCAAGCCGCTTACACTCCTAGCAATCAGTCTCTAACAGCATACAGTAAATCCCCCCAAGAACGAGACAAAGCTCCGTGTTGAGGGTCAAGCACTGATCTGGTTTATTGAGGGCTACCTGTATTTATGTAGGTCTCCCACCTGGTGGACACCCCCCTAGGGGACCAGCTGGAAGACTGTGACAAAGGACAGATATGAACCAATGACTGACACACAGAGGTAAAACATCCCCACAATGCATCCTAATTCCCTCCCCTCTATCCTGGAGATAATTGGGAAGTAATCCAATTATCTCTCAGGACAACGGTAAAACGTCATTATACACGTGGGGACACAAGGACAGTAAAATACTTTAAAATATACAAAGTTACATTTAATACATGAAATCCCTACATGTCACATATCCCCAGATAGCTTCGATCTGAGCGCATATAACTACCGAATAATGCTCAGATCACACACATACAGTTCAATTGCCATGGAGCCAAAGTCTTTAATTACACGAATAGGCTCCATGGCAAAGCTATCTGAGTTAAAACATTCACAGAGTAAAAGTCCCGATCAATCCAGCATTCGGCTAAACAGCCACGGATAGAAGCAGGGAAGGCTGGAGGCTCAGCAGTGCCTGCACGTAAAAGTCTCCGCTTTTAGTGCACTGATTCCGGGCTGAGCACCGCTGGCCGTCCGGGGAGCTCCATAACACCACCATCGTGTGGCAGCTAGGCGACCACCCAGGAACAGTCAATTAAGCTGCGGTTAAAGGACCACTCTAGGCACCCAGACCACTTCAGCTTAATGAAGTGGTCTGGGTGCCTGGTCCAGCTAGGGTTAACCTATTTTTTTTATAAACATAGCAGTTTCAGAGAACTCCATGCTCTCCTATGCGACCGGCTGAATGCGTGCGCAGCTCTTGCCGCGCGTGCGCATTCAGCCGACGGGGAGGAGCGGAGGAGGATCAGAGGAGGAGAGCTCCCTGCCCAGCACTGGAAAAAGGTAAGTTTTACCCCTTTTCCCCTTTCCAGAGCCAGGCGGGAGGGGGTCCCTGAGGGTGGGGGCACCCTCAGAGCACTATAGTGCCAGGAAAATGAGTATGTTTTCCTGGCACTATGGTGGTCCTTTAACCGCAGCTACTGGGTGGTCAATTGATGGCACACGCTAGCTGCAGGGAGATCAATTGGAGGCACACGTCAGCTTCCCAGTGGTCGCGCCTTCGTGCGGCTTTCGGTAGTTTAACTGGGCAACACATACTATACAGGCAGGGAAATAAACCGAACAAACAGACGAATGGAGGGAAAATAATTGTAATCCATATACAGACAGTTCTGTTACAGGCAGTCCCCTGCTTCCATTTTGGACCTCCAGGGCCATGTGATCACACCGGACTTTGCAATCACATGGCCGCAGAGCAGTCTATGAGACAGCCTGCAGGGGGACTGTCTGAGTGCTCAGGTAGTCTCCCTAGCGTCTGAAAAGTTAAAAAAAACGTTAGTGAAACACATTCAAACAATATATTTTACATGTATTATGCAGAACTTGAAAAATAACCAAATTTTTTAATTTCTCAAAGTATTATTTTATTTTATTTATATTAAATTATGTTTCGTATATAAATATTTGATATGAAGCGAAAGTCCTGTTTCTACTGAAAAAAGTATACATAATAAGTGTTGGTGCACTTCATATGAAAGAGGTGACTTATGGCTGAACAGACACACAGTGCACATTTTGTTTACGTTTTGTTTGGATCAGAATTTGTACATTTGACTCCAAATAAAAACAAAGTATAAAAATAAACAAGACATTTATTTGCATTAAACTCATGCGTTATCTCTGAAGTTTAACCCGAAATGTAGTTAGTGAATAGTGGATTTGGTAATTCTGAGCTTTTCCCTGAGTTTTGGACTTGGATTTAGAGTTTGCTTAATTTACCAAATTGGTCCTAAAGTTAACAGAAATAAAAAATGTTTTAATAATATTGAAAGCTTAATAAGGATTTCAAATTACATAAAGCCTCAGTTTAGCCCTCTTTAATGTGGAAAAGTTGATACTACATATTGTGCTTATTT